TCCCAGGGGGGTACCTTGTGTCCTGAAGGTCTTGCCGCAGAGGTGGCACTGGAAGGGCTTCTCACCGGTGTGTGTACGCAGATGCATGTTGAGGTTTGCTTTCTGTGTGAAGGCGTGATGGCAGAACTCACAGACGTAGGGACGCTCGTTCCTGTGAGCAGGGGAAAGGCAGCTGAGCCTTAGGCAGCCCCCAGTTGGAGAACTGTCACCTTCATCTCTGTCTCTGTCTGACACTAGCTGTCGCAACTCTCTCAAAGCACTGCAATTAAATCCTACTTCAACTTATCTCAAACTAAAGTATTTTGCAGGGCCACAAATGCTCCTCTGCACCCATATGCTTCTGAAGTGCAGAGCTGGTGCTTCCTGCCACTCAGGCACCATATAAGCAGCCCAGGAACCAGAGCTCTAAGGGAAGCATGGAAAGCTAACACAAACTCACCACTTCAAGGACAGGAATTAGCCAGGCAGGACAGCTGATGAGCTTCAGCCATCACCTGCATTATTATCCTTAGAGAAAGTGCAAACAGTACATATTTCCTTTGGTAGAGAGGCAAGCAGGACTAAGGTTTGGCCACTCACCAACAGCTGTCAATACCAGCAACCTGCAGTTGTCAGAAACTGTTGCACGTCACCTCCAAGGAAACCAGAGGGCAGCAAGCACCACTCCATCACCCCACACACTTCAGGAGGCTCCCCAGCACCCACCCCACAGGAGCCTGGGGAGAAGGAGTTCACTAGTGACACAGAGGAGGGAAGAGGTCATGTCATACCTGTGCTTGGCCTTGATGTGCATCTGCAAGCCATTGCGACTTGAGGCTCTGTGTCCACACTCCTCGCAGACAAACAGTTTCTCTCCCCGGTGCTTGAATGCCTCATGCAGGCGCAGCTCTGTCCGAGACAGAAAGCACTTGGAGCAAGTTGAGCACTGCAAGTCCATAGGAGAGCTCAGGGTTAGGCAGCTCACCCACACACAGCTCACAGTGTGCACCCGGAACAGACCTGCTCCCCTTGCAGCACCAACTGTGCCATGCAAGATGCACCCTGCTGCACACTGCTGATGTGTTGGGGCCTGCCTGCAGCAATACCAAGCTTCAAAATGCTGAATGGGATGAGACAGCCAGCCAGAACTGAAAAGCTGGTCAGTATATATGGATTTATCAGTTAAAAAGAGCCATGAGGGCTGCTCATTTATCCAAAATAAAAACCATTTCCAGGAGCTTTTCAGCATTCCATAACTCCCTGCCTTGCTTAGCAGAACCAGAAAGGATAATGGGAATCACTCTGTAGCTCAGAGCAGGATAATCCTCTCTCAAGATCTCTACAGTACCGCAGAGAAAGCATTAAAAAATACCACCTCCACTCACCCCACCTTGTGCCAGCATGCTCCCCTTACCGCATGGGGCTTCGGTGCGCCATGCAACTTTATCATGTGGCTCTGCAAGTCCTTCTTCTGCATGAACTGCTGCACGCAGGAGGAACACTGAAATACAGGAGAGTCAGCTTCCAGCCACCTTACAGTGACCGCAACACGAGGAGAGGATCAGTGACATGCCTGCACAACTGGCACAGGAGTCGTTCTGACACAAAGACAAATCTCCAGCAAGGCAGTAGGTGCCTATGCTGCAGAGCCACAGGAAGAACCGTCTGGCTCTGGTGTGTCTCAAGAGCTTGTTCCAGCTCAGAGGTGGGGAATGCCTCTGCTGCCGCTAGAGACAATTGACAGCTCACAGGGAAGGGACCCAGGGATGGCAATATTAAGGATGAGGAGAAAGGCAGGTACCGGGGAGAAAAGCCACGCTTGCAGTCAGACATGATGCACTGCAGGCACCGGAGTGTCCCTGCCACCAGGTGGTGGCACAGCCCCCAGTACAGCACCTGCCAGGCAAGGCCAGGCTCCCCAGAATAGAAAGGCATGCCTGCCCTGCTCGCCCCAACACCAGGCTGTAGCAGCTATGTGCACTGCTGACCTTATAGGGCATCTCCCCCGTATGCGACACCACGTGGAGCCGCAGTTCCATCCGCCTCTTGAACACCTCCTGGCAGACAGAGCACGTGAAAACCTGCAAGAGAAGGAAAGCATCAGCTTCTGTGTGACAGGAAAGGAAGATGCCAGGAGTTGGACATGAAACCAGCAGCTATCCCCACAACTGAGAGCAGCATTTGCCATCTGGGCACCGTGCCTAGATAATGTGTTTCGCCTGCACTGCTAAAACTCATATCTCTTCCAGGACAAAGAGTGCTCTCGTGTGCTTGGGAAAAAAAAAAACAAAGAAACCTGTGAGAAGCCATGTGCTAGCATGTCATGAACAGAAGAGCTGCTAACCTATTGGACTTTCATCACGCTCTGGGGGAGCCAGAAAGCGTGCTCCAATAAGGAGGGGGCTTTGTCAGCAGCTGGAAAGAGGCTGAATTCTGCTTCTGCAAAAGAGCACCTGCTCCAGCTGCATATTTTCTCCCACCCCCTGAGGAGAGACTGGTGGTGACTTCATACGTGTACCTGCTCAGTTCGGCTCATGCAATTTCTGGCTTCGTGCTCCAGGAGATTCTCTTTTCTAAAATAACATTTACCACATTTAGAGCATTCAAATGGCTTCTCTCCAGTGTGTTTCCTGGGGAGACACAAATGCAGAGCATTCATTACTGACAGAGTAACAGCAGCACCGAGCTCCTGAGCCCACACTGGGAAGTGCCCACACAAAAGAACACTTGCTGGTCTGTGTGCTCCAGCACTTGTGCTTTGAAGGGAGGATGCAAGAACCCCACTTGTCTCTGCTGCCAGCAGCCTGAGGCCTCACCAGCTGCCTCTGCTCTAGTGTATGCAACAGCTGCTGATGAAGCTGGAAAGAACCATTTAAAGCCCCCTTTTGAACACACTTCTGCTGATCCCAGGATGTCCACATGCACCTCCATGTTCCCAGAGCACGCTCCATCACCCTGCTTGTTGCAAGTGTGATCTACTGTATGGGAACTGTGAGCCATAGTCTGAATCTCTCATTGAGCACCTGGGGAAACAACCCAGTCGGGCCTGGGAGCACAGGTAAAGGCAATTCAGCTGTGCGATCAGAAGGGGTGCAGCCTGGCTGCACCTCTCTTAGACCTCATTACAGGCTGACTGCTACTGGGGAAGGATCTCTAGTGGAGATCCCTCCCCTGAGAAGTCCTTTCTGCAAGCCAAGATCTTCAGAGATGGTTGAGTACCTTTACTTTTCCTGTGAAATACCATCCTATCTGTGCTGGTCCCTTTATTGTTACATTCTTGTATCGCCCTTCTACCAGCTACGCAACGCTTACTCATTCTGGAAGCCTAGGAGCTAACAGCCCCATACATTACTCTCACCAAAGCCAAAGGAGTTGGCAGCTCCTTCTCCTTTCACTGCCATCCACCTGCAGCCCTTGTGTCCCCCAAATGGGCTCCTGAGCACCTTCACCTTTCTTTGTGAGCTGCGCTGGCTGATGCTCACAGAGCTACAGCTCCAGCAGCACCTCAGGTAACACCTCCCACACTGCCTGGGAGGCAGAGAGCTGAGGGCCCCGAGGTGCCGCGGGGACGCCCAGCCATCCCTCAGCAGCACCCACCAGCACCAAGCAGAGCCCTCTGCACTGGTGAGCCTCTACTCAGCCCCCACCCCACCGGGATCCCCTGCTCAGAAGGAACAGAATGAAGCTCAGGGCGTTACCTGTTGTGCACTTTAAGGTAATATTTGCTGAGGAAGCTTTTATGACACGTAGGGCACTCCACGGGCACCGCTGTGCCTTTCCTGCTCCCCGCCGCCCCCGCGCCGGGCTTCCCTTTACTGCGCAGCGCCTTCTTCTCGGGGTGGGGCTCCGCGTCGCTGTCCCCCGTCCCACCGCCGCCCGTCGCCGCCACGGGGGGAGAGCTCACGGGCGGAGGAACGGGCAGGGTCACCGCGCTTTCCGGGCCGGGCAGCCCCGCTGGGCGCTCCCCCTCCGGCACCGCCGGGCTGAGGACCTCGGGCGGTTCGGCGGGGCGCAGCGCGGGGCCGGGGGCGCGGCGGGGCCGCTGCCGGGCGGTGGCGGGGCGGAAGGCGCGGCAAAGCGCCACGGCGTCCGGCACACCCAGCAGCTCGGCGGCGGCGAGCAGGCGGGCGCGGTTGTGCGCCGTCAGCGCCAGGCGCCCGGTGTAAAAGAAGTCGAGCAGCAGCTGGAAGGTGTCGGCCAGGCCCTCGGGCAGCGCCACCGGCCCGGCACCGCCGCCGCCGCCGCGAGCGCGGAAGAAGCGGGAGCAGCTGGCGAGCACCGGCCAATGCGCGCGGAACTCGCGTCCGCCCACGCCCAGCGTCGCGTCGCAGAACTGCCCGGCCGCGCGCTGCCGGTTCAGCTCCCGCAGCACGCGCACACTGTGCGCTGCCGCCGCCGCCCCCGCCATGGCCGAAAAGCTACTGGGACCAGCACCGCCACACCGCCATCGCGGCCGCGCGCCGGATGTGACGCAGGCGGAACTGTGGCGCCGGATGTAAAGAACAGGGAAGTCGGATGCCGGATGTGACGAATTAACGCCCCGGATGTGACGAATGAGGAAGTAGAACGCCGGATGTGCAGAACAAGGCATTGACGCCCCGGATGTGACGAACACGGAAGTGGCGGGCCTAATTTGACATGCACGGAAGTGACGCAGCGGATGTGACGAACACGGAAGTGGCGGGCCTAATTTGCCATGCAGGGAAGTGACGCACCGGATGTGACGAACACGAAAGTGGCGAGCCTAATTTGCCATGCACGGAAGTGACGCACCGGATGTGACGAACACGGAAGTGGCGGGCCTAATTTGCCATGCATGGAAGTGACGCACCGGATGTGACGAACACGGAAGTGGCGGGCCTAATTTGCCGTGCACGGAAGTGACGCACCGGATGTGACGAACAAGGAAGTAGAACGCCGGATGTAATGAATGCTGAGCGGCCGGATGTGACGCTACAGAGACAAATGCCGCCACCGCTCCCGGAAGTGACGTGCTGATGCGGCGACCTGCCCGTGACGGCCGCGCTTTGGACGTTAGTCGTCGCGGCGCCGCGTGTAGCTGCGGATCGCCCGCTGGAAGTGCTCGGCCGTATTGAGGTGCGGCCGCAGCAGCACTACGAAGCCCTTTGGCAGGAAGTAACCGCCCAGCAGCGGTGCCAGCGTGCCCAGCGAGCCCAGCGCCGTCGTCACCGCCGCGCTCCGCCCGCGGAAGGCGCTCTGCGTGCAGAGGACGGCGGCGAAGCAGGCGAGGTGCAGCAGCAGGCTGCAGGTCAGGCACTTGGCCTCGTTGTAGTCGGCTGGGAGGTCCTTCCCCGCGTAGCTCAGCGCGAAGCAGCCCAGGCTGAGCAGCACGTTGTACAGTATGGCGGCCGTCTCGCCGGGCGCGCTGCCCGCGCCGCACTCCAGCACCACGCGATCGACCGCCACGCTGTAAAGCCTCTGCGGCCCCGCGGGGCTCGAAGCCACCGCCGCCACGCACAGCACCGCCTGCGCCGTTGTGCTGGCCGCGATGAACAGCTTCGGGCCGCCGCGCCGCTGCCAGGCCTCGTGCAGTGCCGGCCACCGCGCGCTCAGTTTGAAGATGCAGACGATCTGGAAGCAGCGCGTTGCCACACACGAGAGGAAGACGGTGAAGCTGATGGTGAAGAGTGGGAAGCGCACCAGGCACGAGAGCCAGGTGGGCTCCCCGAAGTTGAAGAAGATGCTGCTGCAGGCACAGGCCAGGGCGCCCAGCATGAGGAAGCACATCTTGCCGCCCGCTGACCTGACCACCGGTGTGGAGGCGTTCCGGGCAAAGAGCACAGCCAGCGCCGCCATGAGCAGCAGCAGGAGCACAGTGGGGATCAGCAGCACCCAGGAGAGGGGATCAGCCCAGGACAGGAACTCCACGGTCCTGTTGAAGCAGGTCTCGCTCCCTATGGGCGCCCACTCGTCCCTCCCACAGGCCTGGCAGGCATACAGGGCTGGAGAGAACAGCACCCAAGTGGGAGCCACGGCCCGGGTAAGTGATTTGTCCTGGTGGGGCACCATGACCTCACGCCTCAAGTACTTCCCTAGAGTTGACTCTGATTGTTTGCCTTCCCCTCAGTGCTTCTAAGCCTTCAGAAGCAAGGAGTGTTCTTTTCCCAAAAGTCCATTGCTTGGGAAAGGGACAGCGACTTGGGAATTATAGGGCGTAGCATTGTGTGGCTGGAGAAGCACATAGAGGTGAGCCCTGGGCTGCATCGTGCCTGCTGGCTCAGAGGGACTCAGCTGAGTGGGACAGGGCTGCAGGGAGCGTGGGGTTTGTGTACACAGGAGTTTGCACTGGCAGTCCTCTTGCAGGTGAGAGAACTGATGTCTTTTGGGGCTCACCACTCCCACCATTAGCCAGAGCTGGCATTTCTGCCACGCTCAGCGCAGACACACCAAGGCTGTCAGGAACCAGGAGCACATACTGTCAAGGCATTTATCATGGTGGCTAGTGAGTCTGTGTCAGGGAAGCCCTGCCATCAGCCCCAGGAAGGGGACATTTCCATATGCCCCAAGAACTGTGGAGCTGCTGGTGACCACACAGTGCGGAAGCACTGAGTACCATCTACAGCACAAAGGCAACACTAGGCTCAATTTCCCTCCCTGAGGATGTGGCTCAGGAAGCAGCTGTCAAACCAGACATCCCTTGTCTCCTGACCACAAGAGAAAGAGGCTCTGCTGGCACTATCTCTGCTGGTAATTTGACTGCACGGAACCATCTGTTGACAGTAACCCTTGGAAAGCACAGGGCTGAGTGCAGGGCATGAGCTTTGCATGCCCACAAGTAAGCAAACAGGGAAGCCAGACTGACCACATTCAGGTGAGCTCTGAGGTTTTTTTACTGCTCACAGGAAGTTTAAAAAAAGAAGCAGTAACTGTGGAGGCTAGGTGCAGGGAGAGGACAGAGCAGAAGCAAGGAACTGGTGTAATGAAGGGTGCAGATAAAGAAACTGAGCAATAAGGAAGGGGAGGAAGAGGTTGCCAAGGGTTTACTGACCTGTTCTGTTCAGGAAGGTCCCTGCCGGACAGGCCACACAGCTGAAGCAGCACCTGTGGCGATTCTGCTGCAGCCTCATCTCCCCAGCTGCACAGGGCCAGGAGCAGACTGAGACAGGAGCCTGCTGGGAGCACAGCAGCCACTCAGGCAGAGGCAGGGCCTCTGGGGCAGCGTGAGCTGGGTGGGTGAGAGGACAGAGTACAGCCCAAGACTAGTGAGCACCGGAAAGCTGGCTGCTGGCCATCAGGATAGATCCTGGGCAGCAGCTGGGAGCTTGTCATGTTGTCCATTTTCTAGATATATTGGGAAAATCGGGTTGTTTGAAGGTAAAAATAGGAGGTGAGAGCCCTTAGGTTCATATGCTCTGCTTGTTTGTTTGTTTGTTTGTTTCAAATGAAAGTTGTTACTCAGAATGTAGATAACCATCTGTACCCCCCCGCCCCCCCGCCTTCACATTTCTTCTGCTCTGGGGAAATACCCAAGAAGTAATGTTGTTAAGGTAGTTGGCTTGACAATAAATAAGATTTGAATGCAGAACTGTACCTGGTGATCTTTTGTGTGCCACAGGATTTTGCTCTGGTCAATGTGCAGCTGGTCAGGGTTCACAGTGAAAGCTCCAACCACATCAAAAGCCCAACTCTGGCCTCCCCAGTTCCAGGCAATGATGTTATAACCTTTACGAATGTTCCCATTGGCATCAAATGAGATCTGGCTCTTGTGCAGGCTGAAGTTTACCTGCTTGATTTTTTGTAGGAGCTGTAAGAAAGAAGAGTAAGAGTAGAGCCCTTCCTGATGACAGGGGAGTCTTGCTTTCAGAGAGGAAGGTGCTAGCAGTCCCCTTTCTGCCTTCCTCTCAGATTCTGTTGTAAGTAGCCCATGTCCAGCAGCAGCAGATCTCTTCCAGGTTTCTGCAAGGGACTACAGACAGAAGAATGAGAGAGTGAGCTGAGAGTGTGGGTCTGGATCCAGGCTGCTGTACCTGTGACAGCTGGAGCCTACAGTGAAGCTGCTGTGCAGCAACCAGAGGGAAGGCTGAAGGGAGTCAGATAAGGCTGTTGGCACCAGTTAAGGGAGAGCCTTTTTTGTGCCAATCCCACATAGCCAGAGGCCAAGAGACTTTGAACTCTGAGCAGTGCAGCCCTGTTCTCTTTGGTGCAGAAAGGATTTTCAGAGATGGAAAACCCCTGTGCACAAGGAAAAAATCTGGGCTGCAGAGGGAAGAGGGGCCTTCCTCACCTTGCTCTTACCTGCCAGGGATAGACTCTGCCTTTGCTGCACACCCCTGAGGCACAGCCCAGCAGGTCATGGAGGCCGTGGGCCACTGCATACACAGCAGAGTACACGTTGTAAGAGGCCTGAATGTCATATATGTCTGGGGTATCAGCAAGCAAGTGACATCCTGGGCAGTGCTGGGTACAGTTCAGCTGGACTCCTTCACTGCTGCTCGATCCATTTTCCCCCACCAGCCCTGTGCTGCCAACACTTCCAGACACACCACGTTCCTTTGCATTTTCCCAAGATTCAAGGCGTTTCAGCATTGTGGGCTCTGCCTGCTCAACCGAAATGCCAATCACAGAGCCAACATTTCGGATGCCGGGCACCTGCCAGATGGTTTGGGCTAAAGACCAGTCTTCAGAGCCCACCCACACCATTCCTGTGATGTTCTCCTGCACCACTGCCTCAAAGAAGGGCTGGGCACTCCCCCTGTTGGAGAAGACAACAGTGACATTGACCCTGATGTCCACGAGGATTTGGATCAGCTTGTGGAACTCCGGGCTGCTGGCATCCTTGGTTGCAGGGATGACACCCCGGTAGGCAACACACACGTCACTTGTGGCCAGCAGCTCGTAGAGGGCGTTCAGCCCATCCCTACCATAGGTGTTGTCGCTGCCCACCAGAGCAACCCAAGTCCACCCAAAGTGCTGCAGCAGCAGCGCAATGGCCTTCACTTGCTGCCCATCGCTGGGGATGGTGCGCAGGAACGACGGGTAGAACCGCTTCAGGCTCAGCATCTCCAGAGAGGCTTCGTAGCTGATCTGCAAAGGAAGCCAGGGGAGGGGGTGGCACACGGGGGGATCCGCTGCCCCGGCAGGAGGGAACAGCAGCACAGGGAGCAGGGTTCAAAAGCAGCCCGGGGAGGCGGCAGACGTTCCGGAGCGAGAACCTAAGCAACGCTAGAGCGCGCGTCGCCGCCGGGGAGCGGGACCGACCTCCGGCACGAGGAAGACGCCCAGGATGGCGGCCGCGGTGAGGGCCAGCTGGGTGCTGTCGGGCCCGATGACGGCCACGGCCCGCGGCTCGTAGCGCTGCAGGGCGCTCAGCAGCTCGATGCGGTGCCGTCCGTTCCGGCCGAGGGCGCGCAGCGTGGCGTGCAGGCTGGCGGCCTCCGTGCAGGTGTCGTGGATCTCGTAGCCCAGCGTGACGTTGGGGAGGAGCGCGCTGGAGTTGTTGATCTCCTCCACGGCGAAGCGCATGGCCTGCGAGAGGTGGTAGCCGTGGCTCCTGAAGGCGGCAGCCCTGCGAGCAAAGCGGGTTGAGCTGCGCCGGGCACGCGGCGGCAGCGGGGAACGGCGGCTCCCGTGAGCCCTCGCCCACTCACACGCCGCAGCCGCGCGCCAGCGGCCGGCCGGGCCGCAGCCCGTGGATCTGGAAGAGCCCGGCCAGGCGGAACTCGCCGCGGCCGCTGAGGGCGGCGGCGCAGAGCCGGGCGCAGAGCAGCAGGAGGAGCGGCGGCATGGCGGGGCGGGGCGGGCGGCGCGGGCGGCGCCTCTTGAGGGCGCGGGGCGGGGCGGGGCGGCGCGCGGCTCTCGCGAGAGCGGCGCAGGCGAGGCCGCCATGCCGGCGCGGCGCGGCCGTCCCCGCCGGGCTCCGAACCGCGGCGCTGCCGGGGAGGGCCGCGCCGAGGCCGCGTGGCGGGAGTTCGCCGCCTCCTTCGCGCGGGCCGGCGTGGCGCCGCCGGGCGGGGCGGGGCTCGCGGCCGTAGAGGCGGCGGAGGGCGCGGCCGTGCTGCTCCTGGGCCCGCAGCAGGTGCGCCGACCCGACCCGCCCCGGACCCGCGGCCGCTCCCGCGCCGCCTCCGTCTGACCTGGCGCGTCCCCGCCGTTCCGCAGGCGCTGACGTTCAGCGGGAAGTGCCGCCTCACGTGTCTGTACGGCGCCGTGCGGGTGCTGGGCTTCGCCGTGGGTCCGCACCAGCCGCCGCTGCCGCTGCTGTCGCCGCCCACGCACTGCGCGCTGTCCCTGGAGGCGCTGCCCGCCGCCCGCGCTCCTTACGCCGACCCCCGGCAGCTCCGCGCCGCCGCCCGCCGCGCCCTGCGCGCCCGCCGCGTCCGCCGCCGTGAGTTGGGGGCGCCGGGGGGGCGGGGGGGGCGCGGGGCCGCCGCCGCCATTTCGCGGGCCGCCGCCGCCATTTCGCGCTCTCCTCCCCCCTTCCCCAGAGGCGCGGCTGAAGCTGATGGCGCGGTTCTCCCCCGAGTGCGCCGTGGTGCTGCTGGAGCACCTGGACACGGCCGCGACGCGCTTCCTGCTCAGCCTGCCGCCGCTCTGCCGCCTCTTCGAGCCCCAGGTGAGCCGCGCCCCGCCGGGCGCCGCCGGCAGCCCGACCCCGCGCCGCCCCGACGGGGACGAGGACGAGCCCGACGTGACGGCCGAGGCGGCGGTGCTGGCGGCGGTGCTGGCGGCGGTGGGCATCGTGCCCTGCGGCCCCGAGCGCGGCCTGCTGCTGTCCGACAGCACGCTGAGCGCCCTGCAGGAGTTGGTGCGGGTCTGCTGCGGTGAGTGCCGCGCTGGCTGCAAGCTGCTGTGAGCTGAGCGCTCTGCGGCGGGCCCTGCAGCGTGTGTTGTGTGTCCTGATAGGGGAGGACGAAGGCGTTCCGGTCATCATGGTGTGCGGCCCAAAGAGCATCGGCAAGTCCACGTTTAACAGATACCTGATCAACCTGCTGCTGAACCAGTGAGTGCTCCCGCGCTCTGCAGCTCCGTGAGTGCTGTGTCTGAGCTGTGGGAGAGGGAAAGCTTGCTGCCAAAAACGGCCTTGTCGCTGCAGATTCGTGGCAGAGCAAGGTGTGCCTTTTGCCTTGGCCGTTGCCTGCTTAGCATAGAGGTTAGAGCTTATAAACCTTAAGACGCTGCTCTTAGAGTGCCCAGTTAACGTAGAGAGAGGCTGACCTGATTGATACCGCCTCTGATTTATCATTCTGACTGCTTTCCTGAAGACTGGATGGGCACAGAGCTATTACAGTATAAGCACGGGATCTGCAGTGTGGTGTAGGAGTGCCCTTTGAGTCCTTGTCTCTGCCCTTCCCTTACTCGAGGGAACGTTGAACAAGTGTGGTTTGACTGTGTCCGGTTTAATTTTGATGACCCGGAACAAAGTCTAATTTTGCTTCAGCTGTATTCAAAGCAGCGTTCTTGTTCTTCTCAGTGCATGCTAATCTATGGGCTTCTTTCACTGCAGCCTTCCCTCCGTTGAGTACATGGAATGTGACATAGGGCAGACTGAATTCACGCCGCCCGGATGCGTGTCTTTAAGTAACGTAACGGAGCCGTTTCTCGGTACGTGCTTTGCTGCTTCCTGTAGTTGGCAGAAACATCTGATGTTCCCAGAAGGTGCTTTTTGGGTATAGGCTGTGTGTACTTTGGGGGAAGTTGCTACACGTAGCAAAAGTACACGTAGAGAATAAAAGGCCATAAAAGTTCTTTTGCTGAGGGCATCTGAGCTCCACGTGCAAATCTTGATAAGTAATGTGGAGCTGTTCTCCTCCCTTGGTCTTCGCTCTGTGTGTTAGCAGAGAGAAGATAAGTGGGAGTGCTGGAGATGTGCTTTCCTTCCCAGGTCCACCATTCACGCACCAACGGACGCCGCGCAAGATGGTGTACTATGGGCAGACCAGCTGTGAGCAGGACACAGAGAGATACGTCGATGTGGTGAAGTACGTGTTCAGCTCCTACAGGAAGGAAGTACCTTTAGTCATCAACACTATGGGCTGGGTGAAAGGTAAACACGATGAATCCATTCTGAAGGGGTGGTGCAGAGGGAGCATAACAACCTGACAGTGTATCGCCTCACTTTGCAGAGTCGGGAGCATGAAAATAGAGCTCACTCCACGCAAGCTGTTGTTGGTCTTCTCTGACAGCGTTCAGATTTCTTAGCGTGGTGACACTAACTGTGTATCCTGTGCTCCCTGAAGGTGAGGGGTTGCTGCTTCTGACTGATCTAATCCGGCTGCTGTCGCCCACTCACGTGGTTCAGATGGATGTGTACGACTGGAAGGCCATGGCTCCGCTCACCCCTGAGAACGTCCATCTGGCTCCCGGGCTGTACACCAAGGGCAAGCAGCAAGCCAAGGGCAAGCAGATGGACCTGAGTGCAGCAGAGAGCTGGAAGTGCTCTGAAGGGGAGGAAGATGCATCAGCTCCTGAGTATAAACTGCTCTATGTCCACCCTGAATTCCCTCGAGCTGGGGCTGCAGGTGAAGCGTAAGTGGAAAATTAGCATTGTGTCATTCTTAATTGGCTCAATAAAAGTATGCTTAGTGTTGATAGTAAATGCATAGCAGAGAACTTTCATATTAGCCTTCAGAGCCCCATTAATTTGGTCATAGCCTGTGAGGCTGTTTATTCTCTTGACAGGTTTGCTCGAGTTTTGATTGAAGTTTTTGGAGGAGATTGTTGAGAGCATTTTCATTTTGTTTTTGTGTAGGGGGAGGTGTGGGGAACAGAAAGGGGACCTTACCCTACTCCCAGTAATTACTGCTAATTATGCAGATTTCTACACCAAGTGCAGCTTCCAATTAGAACTTCCACTTGTTGATTTGTTGTGTTTATTTTTTCCAGGCGAGTGCACAGCAGCATCCTACGTGACATGTCCATACTGGGTTACTTGGGGCAGCTGCAGCCCCCAGATGTGGCATCCGTCCTTCCGCTGCACAGCCTCGTGCCATATCAGGTACATGGGCCTTCTGGAGGGGGTGGCAGGTGCTGCAGGGGGTCTGGCTGCTGGGAATTGAAAGTTGTACTGTGAACGTGTTTTGGAAGGTGGGGAGAAAAATGCTTTGTAATCCGAGATAAACAGCTGATCGGTGCTTTTAATTAAAAGACAAGGCTTTTGTTACAGTGTCACTGTAGCACATGTTTTCTGTGTGTTCAGTTGTTAGTGCTGAAACTGTTCGCTGTAATGTCTATTTGTAGATGTCGTTGGTGGCTTTCTAGTTGGGTTCAAGTTCAGGTTAAGTTAAGTACACAAAACTGAAGCTCAGCTGTTGACACAGTGTGTTTCTTTTCGTTCTTTTCCTTCCCCCTCAGGTACCTTTTAATGCTGTTGCACTCAGGGTTATTCATACCGATGTTGCTCCTACCAACATCATGTATGCAGTGAATGCCAGCTGGGTTGGGCTCTGCAGGATACCAGATGAAATCAGATGCCAAACTGCCGGGCCAGTGCTGCTGACACAGACACCCATCTGTGATTGCCTTGGCTTCGGTGAGTGAGGCTGGGAAACCTTAAGCCGTGTTCTCACGTGTTGTATTCTGAGCTGTGTTGCAGAATGGTGGAATTATCTTCTCTTTCCAAAAACAACTGGAAAAGTAGGATTAGGTTCATGTTTCCCAAAGCAGATTCTAAGTAGGTTATACAAAATGTATGGGCCAGGTCTGGCTGAACGCTGTGTCTTTCAGGAATTGTCCGAGGGGTCGACATGGAGAAGCATCTCTATCACATCCTGACCCCGGTGCCTCCTGAGAACCTCAGAGTAGTGAACTGCCTTCTGCTGGGAAACATTGCTATTCCAAACTGCATTTTTGTGAGCCAGGTAGGAGTTGCCTGGGAGGAGGTTGGAAAAACTGTTGTAGGGTTAATCTTGCTGGCAGATTTTTGCTTGCTTTGAGGCTTGCACGTGTCCAGAGCTGTCTGGACACTAGCATGGTTGTACCCCTGGGAAATTGCCCTTAATGCACAGAAGCAACCAAGAGAACATTCATGCTTTTCAGATATCAACATAGGGTTGGTTCGGTGGTAGCTTTCTTGTATTCATCAGTAAACGCTGCTCTGTTTTTAAAGGGAGGTGCCTTCAATTGAAGGCACAGATCTGTGAAGTTGTTCTACTTTTTGGTTTTGTTTTTTCAGGAAGGAATTGAGGGAGAGATCCCTTACGTCACATCTGAGTATAACTACAGCATTTTGGGGTCTGGGAAGCTGAGAAAGAAGAAGCATTTCAAGAAGAGGGAATGCACATTCCAGTGTGATTACACTTGAAGCCTTTGGACTTTGGACTGCAGGATTTGTTTTGTATGGCAGGAGGCCTGGGGTCCACAGCTGCAGGAGACCCCAAGCAAGCAGCTGATCTGTAGATACTAAAACATCATTTTTAACAGTATTTTATATTTTCAGTATGTATTCTGGTGTTTTGTAATAAATAAGTTGAAAACGTTGGTTTGGTTTGAATTCCTTCCAAAGCCTGCAGTGACATGGATGTGGCTTATACAACCCGTGGGTGATTGGCAGAAGCTCTTAATTAAAGCAGTCATGCTCCTCCTGGCTGAAGCAGTTAGTGCTGGAGCTCAGAGGAGTGTGAGCCCCTGCGGCAGGGGGGTGAGAGCCTAACTTCACAGTAGTCTGCTTTACCCGTGGTTTTAAGAGTGTATGCTGGTCTTTCTCTTGTCTGTTTTCTCCTGAATTTTTGGTGAGCTCGGTGCCTTTCCGCTCGGACTGCAGGTGGGGTGGTGGCGCAGCAGAAGCAGTGATGCTTTGGGGAAGATGGGGGAATGGATTGCTTGGGCTTAAAAGCCTCGAGTGTAAGCTCTGCGGTGTGGGTAGAGGCATGGAATGGAGAGGGATGTGTTATCTGCCTACTGCGTGGGGCAACAGTGTGAACCCCAGTGAGAAAATGGAAACCAACGCACCGACGGCACCGGGATCCTAACGGAGCTCCGCGCGGCGAAGAGTTAAAGCTTGAACTTAATCCGGCCCTAATTCTGCCCATATGGTTTGCTCCGGCGGCGCGGGGAAGGCCGGCGCGGTGGCGAAAATAAATACGGGTCCATCTGTGCGGCGGGCGGGGGGGCACCGGGAAAGGTGAGACGGGGCCGGGGCGGAGCCTCCCGCTGCGGGCGGGGGGCGGCGGTAGGGAGCGTGGCGCGGTACCGGCACCGCGCGGAGCGATGAGCGCTGCGCCCAGGCGCGGGTCCGTCCCCGCAGCCGCCTCACCCTTCGCCTGGGGACGCGTGAGTGCGCGGGGCGTGCGGGGCGACGTCCGGCTGAGGCCGTTCCGGGTGTGCGGAGGGAGGGGCGGCTGCGGGGCGCCCGCTGGAAAGGCCCGGCCCCCCCGGGTCCTGCCCTGCTGTTCGCTGATGCTCTGCCGGGTTCGGGCACGCGCTGCCCCTCCTCCGCTCCCCCGGCACATGAGCGGGGGTTGGGGGCGGAGGAGCTCTGCCCACCTGCGGGGCCGTGGCCGCCGTCTGCTTTCCTCCCCCACAAAAGCTCCTGGCGAAGGGTCCCGGAGGCGGCGGAGCTGCGCGCAGCGCGCAGTGATGGCCGCGGGCGGTGTCGGTGCTGACGAAGCTGGGGCAGGAATTGCCTTCGCTTGATCTTTCCGCGCAGATTGTCCCGTTTTAGGGAGCTTTGCCCAGAGCAGATCTCGGCTGCCTGATGGTGGTGAGGAGGAAAATGAAACTCTCCGTCTCCACGCACGTGTGCTGCGTCACCGCCAGCAGCTGGGGAGAGCTTGCCAGCAAGGAAACAATGAGGCTGGAGCTCATTCCTCGGGACGGGTGGGCAGAGCCGTTTCAGCGCTGGTGAGGTCCCTCCTGTTTGGCTCAGCACCGCAAACACCCCATCCTGGTTGAGCGCACCCCGGGGTGCTGCTGTCCCGACGGCAGTGACCGCTGCCAGAAAGTATGGATGGTTTCACTGATGGGGGTTCGGTTCTCTTCGGGGCCGAGCTGGTGTATGGAAAACATGGCTTCACATAGACAAGGCTGTGGTAGTGAGTCTGGGGCAGGAGGCCAGGAGGGAGCGCTGGGAGGGCTGTGCCGCTGATGCAGGGCTGTCCCAAAGGCAGTCAGGTAGGGGGGCTCAGCCTCGGCCCGGCTCCTCCCTGTCACCTCCTGTGCCTCGCAGAGGAGCCGGGGCACGCGGCTGCTGGCTGTCCCAGCTCAGCACTGCCTCCACCTGAGCTCCTGTGCGGGGCGTGGGGCAGAATGGTGTGCAGGTTCCAAACCCGGGACTCTGCTAGGAGCTCAAACGTAGGGAGAACATTCCATTGTGTGAGCCAGGGAGAGCTGCTGCAAAGCTGTGCCACGATCTCAATGCTCGAATTGCAGCCGAGTGCTGAGCGCAGGGTGGGGGTCCGGAGTCAGAGCTGTGCTGGTGCCGTGGGGCACCATGCCCACCCCCAGTGCTGTCCTCAGTGCTGTGCCCGTCCTCCCCGCAGCGCTCAGCCCCCAATTCCCGCAGCATTCCCCCCCCGGCCCTGTGCCGCCGGAGCTGCCGAACAGCCGCGCTCTTCATGCCGATTATTTCAATCACAAGCGTGTCTTGTCTCCCCGGCCGAAATTTCTTTCATAGACGGCGGAAAGTGAAATTTGTGCAATGTCTGTAGGAGGCTGAAGAAAGGCCCTTTGTGCACCCTGTGCGCGGGGCATTGGGCAGCCTCCAGCAGCACCCTCCGCCACCCCAGCGCTCCCGGCTCGCGGGATGAATGCTGCGCTTGTCCGGAGAGCGGGACCTGCTCTTAAAGCCAGAGCCGGGCCCCCTGGCCAGTCCCACCGGTGTGGGCACGGCTCGGCCGAGGCAGCCCCCTGGGTGCCCCATGGTGAGGGCAGGTGCCGCGTTGTGGCCGCACGATGTTCCTGTACTGGAAGAAGCGGGGTGCATACGAGCTGGGGGCTCTGCCCCCCGCGCTGGCGGGCATGGAGTACGGGGCGGTGGAGCGCTTCTCCTGGAGCTCCAGCCTGGACATCAGCGAGCAGCTGGCGGGTACGTCATGGGGCTGGAGGGCGATGGTGTGGCAAAAACCCTGCACAGAGACAGAGGGACCGCTGTGCGCTGGGAGACTGCGGCAGGGCTGGGAGAAGGGATGCTGTGGTGCAGCTGGGGAGCACCCAGAGAGCTGCCTGCTCCATGCACCACAACTGGCAAGCAGGTTGTGAAGTCCTGGTGTGTGTGTGTGTGTGAACCCCTGCTGCCGGTGGTGGTGTTTGGGAAGGGCCACGGCAGTTTGCAGTGTGACCTGGTGTGGGGCGGCAGGGCAGGGGGCTGCTGTCACCCTCCTCGTGGTTTTGGTGAGTTGGGCAAACATCCCTTTGCCAGTCTGAAAGAATTTCTGATTTGTTTCTGTTATTATTCATAATAGGTCAAGTGAAATGATGGTGGTGGAGGGGCCAAGCAGCCCGGCGGGCGCTGCGGGGCGGCGGTGGGGACAGAGTGCCCATTGTGCTGCTGCAGTGTGGGGCTGGCGTGTGGGCAGCGGGGCCCCACGGCAGCCGCACTCCTGGCTCTCTCCCACAGGCACTGCACCCAGGGGTGCCCACGGGGGTCCTCATGGAGGTGCCCTGGGCTGGTGTGAGCATAGGCCACACATTGCGCACAGGAGAGCTCTCGCTTCAGCCCCGGTGCCCACTGGTGTGCCACAAGCTGCCTGGAGTCTATTTTTAAACTATTAGGCACGACACATAACAAAAGCTTTCAAAATAGGATTTGTCCTCAAGGCCGATTTAGCTGTTAGAGCTTAAAGCAGACCGTAAGCCCCTTTGGGGACTGGCGAGGAGCAGATTTAGCACTCCTGGCACTGCCCTCGGCCCGTGCCTCTCCTGGCAGCGGGTGCAGGACGATGCCCCCAAGCCCTGCTCTCTGCTGTGGCCATCCCAGCTCTGTTACCCATCGGGAAATAAATCTCCGTATTAGGGCAGGTTTGGGGCTTTGGGCCCGTTCCTGTGTTTGCAGCAGTGGGAGTTTGGGGAGTGCACTGTGTATCATCGCTGGCAGCACTCAGGGCTGCCGTCCCCATCCCAGGGGCAGCTCCCAGCCCCTCTCCCAGCTGTGGGCAGTCCTGGCCTTGCTCAGCCCCGTGTCTGGAGCAGCTGTGGGACCCCTTCTGTGGGCAACATGTGCCCGGAGTGGCCCCGGCACTCTGTGGCAGGAAGCAGGAGGCAGCTGGTCCCAGTGCTGCGGGTGCATGCTGCTCTTCTCTGCTGGAGAAGCTGGAGTCACAGCGCTGGGTTCTGGGCATGGGGACATGAGGTTTGGTGCATCACCAGGGCAGGAGGTTGGCAGCCTCTGCTCTCTGCCTTCTGCCCGAAAGCTGGGTGCTCACTGCCAGGGACCCATCCTCCTGCAGGGGCCATGGGGCAACAGCTGTGGGGCAGGGTTGGGCGTGGGGTTCCAGGGCTCCATGTGTGCATCCAGCGCTAACCCCAGCTCTCTCCTGCAGATGAGCAGTGCCCAGCAGAGGAGCAGGGGCTGCGTTGCCAGAATCCTGACTGCACTGACAAGAGGAGGGCGGCCAAGGTAGGGCATGGGGTGCCAGCAGTGCGGCTTTCAGCTCGGGCTGTGCCATCAGGAAGGCAGCAGGCATGCAGTATTGGTGCAGATCTGGGCAGGTGGAGGCTCCCATGGGCTCGCCCTGGTTCCCAATGCCTCTGGTGCCGGCAGAACTGGTTGGTGCAGCTGGCTGGCAGGCAGCCATGGGGCAGAAAGCCCTGGGCCAGTAGGATGTGGCTAGGTAGCAGGGAAGGGCTGCAGCCACTTCCCCACATGGTGGGAGCTGTGTATGGCAAACATCCCTTGGCAGCATCGCGGTCCCACCGCCCGTGTGTGCCTGCAGGCTCGTGCGTGGCTGGGATTTAACTGCGTGGCAGCAGCTTCCCTGTTTCCCCACCTGCTGTAATTCAGGCTAATCTCATTGAGCCCGTCTGTCCTGTTCCCGGTGGGAGCACCGCTCGGCAAGCCAGCACAGGCAGCGCGGCTGTGCCCAGGAGGGAGGGAACCTCTGCTGCAGCTCTCTGCTGCACACCGGGGCTTGGCAGTAGAGCTACACAGGGCCCCTCTAGGAGCAGCCGCGTTCCTACCCGCGTCCATTGAGGGATGTGGAGGGATGGGAGCGCCGTGATCAGGCTGGGAAGTGCAAGGCTCTGGAATTAAGCAGAGCCTGCGGCTGGAAGCGCCCCATGCCACCTCTCCTAATCTTGTTGATCGCTAATGTAAAGCCGGAGTGGATTTAGGGCCCCTTATCTCTGGCTGCTTGACCTGCTGGCTCGCTCCGGGCCGTCCTCGCTGCTGGTGCCGCGCTGCTGCTCTGCTCCTGGTGAGTGCCGGGTTCCTGCTCAGTGCGCCGAGGCCGCGCTGGTGGGGAGGGCGTGCAGTGCTCAGCCGTGCGGTGCGATGCTCCCGGTCTCGGCGGGAAGGGCAGCGCAGGAGCATTGCTCCAGCAACAAGAGCGATGGTAGTTGGGCCCTGGAGGCCTGGCAGCACCACCGCAGGCTTTTATGGTGAGCAGATGAGCTCTGGTTTTTGGAATGAGGCACCCGCTGCCTTTTGAGAGCATCAGGGAGGAAATAACAAAGCGGTGACCTTTCAAGCAGTGCGGGTTTTGGGAAGACTCTTCTCCCCAGCTCCTTCCAGAGCCGGGCTGTGCCCTCAGCCCCCCCAGCACCTCTGTCCTGCAGTGCAGGGAGTGGGGCAGGCACCTGCCTGGGGAGGGGAGGGCGGTGTGGGCAGAGTGGGGATCAGGCATGGGGGAAGTGAGGCGGGCAGGCAGGTGTGCAGCGCGGCCGCAGGCGTGGCGTGCCGTGTTTGCACGGGTGGAGCTGCTGGGTAAACACAGCGCGGGACACACGTGGCACCAGGCTGCGGCCTCGTGCCAGCACCACCGGGAGCAAACGGCCGGGAGCCATCCCCAGTGTTGGGCAGCCAGATGGGGCCATGCGAGGACGTGCAGGCGGGCAGGTTGGTGAGCAGTACAGCCGCGGTGCTTCCACCCTGCAGTCCCAGGCTCTGCCTATGGGTTTGGGTGTCCCTCGGCATCCCCGTGGTGGGGGGAGCCGGGTGCGGTGAAGGCAGTGTGGTGCTGGGGGAGCGCGGGCGGCGGGCCGCGTCAGCATTGACCTCAGCAGCGCCGGGAGGAAGGAGGGCAGGAAGCGGGGGCGGCTCGGGGTGCACCGGCGCTTCCTCTGCCGCACAGCGGGGCCCGCGCTCCTGGGATGCCGCACCACAGCCCTTCTACTCATGGGGTGGCCGTGGGGCACTGCCAGATGGGGACGTACCTCGGGTGTGGGCTGACAGCCCCCAGCAGCACCCCAACCCCTGGCACAGCCCCCAGCAAAGGGTCACGGGCTGTGCGCCGCGCTGGGGCTGGCCAGGGGTTTAAAAATAAATGCCTGTGAATGCCCGGCCGAGGCTGAGGCTGGGCGCACAATCGGAGGAAATGCATCGGCTTGCGAGCATTGTTTTGCTGCAGACACTTGCTTCCTCCGTTCTGCTGTGGGGACACTGATCTCGCAAACACAAAAGGGCTCCGGAGTGGCCCTGCAGCCCCTCTGAGAGCACAGCAGGTCCTGGTGCACCCTCAGCCCAGCATGGGACGTCAGGAATGGGCGAGTGGGGGTCAGGTGCCCCCAGAGCCTCCAGTGCCCTCTCTCCCCCCGTGTCCAGCTGTGTGCAGCCCTTCTGCTGCAGTCCCAAGGCTCTGAGGGTCTCTGTGCAGTGCAGTGGTGATGGGGAGGGGGCTCAGCACAGCCCTCAGGGGGTGAGGGGATCCCGCTGCTGCCCTGTCCCAGCCCACAGCTGCACCCCACAGGTATGCCACCATGCCGAGTGCCAGCAGCTGAACCGCAGCAGCCCGCTCAGCCTGTGTGAGGCCTGCGACGGGCACCTGCATGACACCATGCACTTCGATGGGCACATCCGCTTCGATCTGCCCCCGCCAGGTGAGCCGGGCTGGCTGCATCCTGGGCCCTTGGTGGGACACAGCAGGGCCAGCAGGTTGAGCACAGCCTGGCCCCATTGCTCATTGACAGGCTCCATCCTGGCTCGCAACGTGTCCACACGCTCGTGCCCGCCGCGCACCAGCCCTGCCTCTGACATGGAGGATGATGATGAGGGACCGGCGGACGGGAGAGGGTGAGTGCATGTCCCAGCCCTTTCTGCAGTTCATGGGACAGAGCGGGTGTCTCCGTGTTGCCAGCAGACCCTGCAGGACTGCTGGCTCACTCTGCCCATGCCCGCAGGGACAGGAGAAGCTCGGCACTGAAGCTGCCCAAGAAGAAGGCTCGGCGCAGGCACACAGATGTAAGGCACCATCCCCTTCCTGGGGCTCTGCTGTGGGGTTATACTGTGGCCACATCCAAGTTGGGTGGGAGCCCTTGGTGAACTGCTTGTCTCCTGCAGGACCCCAGCAAGGAGTGCTTCACCCTCAAATTCGACCTTAATGTTGACATCGAGGCGGAGATTGTGCCGGCCATGAAGAAGAAGTCCCTGGGGTGAGTGTGCCTATGCCAGGTACAGCCCTGACAGGCACAGAGATCCCACAGGACCCATAATGATGATATCCCACAGGGATGTGCTGCTGCCAGTCTTTGAGAGGAGGGCGATTGAGCACAGCAAGGTGGACATCTACCTGGACCAGTCCAACACACCGCTCTCCCTCCAGTTTGAGGCGTACCGCTTCGGGGGACACTACCTGCGAGTGAAAGGTATGGAGGGGAGCAAATATAAGGCCAGCCCAGGCATCACGAGGCTGGGGGCTCTGACAGCTCTGTGCTCCCGTAGCCAAGCCTGGGGACGAGCTGAAGGTGGAGCAAGCAGCACGGGACGCACGCTCAGCCAGCCTGCCCATCCTGCGCCCCGCCAGCACCGCTGCACTCCTTGGGACAGGGCTGGAACCAGGGCCGGGCCGTAGGGAGGGCACTGACATCCTGGTGAGTACCCGCTCACCCTGTGCCTCATGTATCCGGGGGGGTAGGGGCACACCAGAGCAGTAGGGTGTCTCCTGGTTGGCCTCATGCAATGAGGGTGCAAACCCCCTGGCAGCCTTGAGAATGGGCTCAGCTCCCAGCAGTGCTGTGTTGTGCCAGTGGTGCCACATTGCAGTGTGGGCAGTGCCTGGCGCCAGGCGTGGCAGCTCAGCTGGCAGCCCTACAGCTGTGCCACGTATGGGCTGGTACCTGAGCAAAGCAAAGCTCCACGCCCCAGGGCCCCATGGCTGTGAGCTGCCATGCAGACCCCAGGGCTCGCCCTGGCTGCACTCCCGGCTGGGACGTGGCCACTGTCCCTCCTCGCCTTGGCACCTGTCAGCTGCTGTGTGCAGCCTCAGTCCTGCCCTGTGGACCCTGGTCCCAGATAAGCTGTGGGGCCGGACCTGCTGCCACTCCCTGTGGGAGCAGATGCCACACTCGTGTGGCCACACAGCCACGCAGCTCCTGCTCCCCAGAATTTGGCTCCAGGGATCCCAGCGTGGGGCCAGCAGCTCTTAGCTCTCTGTGCCAGAAGCCCCCGAGTGCACCAAGCTGGCTGTGTGGCCGGGGCTGGTGGCTGCCCGCATCCGGCAGTACGATGCCTGGCAGTGGGACTGGCACTGCGCTGGGGGGGCAGAAGGGATGGCGGTCACAGGGCCACCTCCACAGCCGGGTCCCCGCGGGCAGGTGGGAGCAGAGCCGAACCAGGGCAGCAGGGCCAGCGTGGGCCAGGGCGCCTGGGGACACCATGGCATGGTGAGCTATGGGGCCGTGCTGGGGCGAAGTAGAGATTCTCCAGGGCTCACTGGGCATATGGTGCTGTTACGGCTTGGGGACAGTAGGTCTCTCTGTACCATGCAATGGCCATGCTGCACTTTGTACCAGGAGAGGAGAGGGCAGGCCACGTCGTGGTGTGGCCTTGGCATGGGGTTGTGGGGATTCATGAGCGTGGCATGAGCCGAGTGCCCGGGCAGGCGGGTGCTGTGTGGCCGGGACCCAGCTCCGCTGCGGGATGGTGGGCTTTGATCTTTGCCAGCGAATTGTTCGGGTCTGTTTAGCTTATCTGGCGAGGAGGGAAATTAGGTTTTCTGCGCTGGCCCCACCTCCTTTTGTTCGGAGAAGCCCAGCCAGAGCTGCCTGACTCTGCGGTTCAAGTTCAGAGCACGGCTGGGCGGTGCGGGGCTCGGGGTGCTGCACCCTGTGGGATGCGCTGAGCTGCGGTGCCCCTCTGCCACGGGGTGTGGGCACAGGACCGGTGCACTTGGCCCCCTGTATGCAGGATGCAGGTACGCAGGTCAGTGCGGGTGCGGGCGCAGAGAGCTCATGTCCTGTGGGGGCCTGGCTCTGCACACCCTAGAAAGGGACCGGCTATAGGGTGTGGGGGACACATCAGCAGGAGCAGAGCAGGGCTTTTCGGGGGCTGTCCCTGCACTGTGAAGCGTGCAGGGCTGGTGCTGACCTGCGGCACCGACTGTACTTGTGCAGGCTCCGGGCAGGCGGCGGAAGAACATGACGGAGTTCCTGGGGGACACCAGCATCCCCAGCCCTGAGCCATCCCTGCATGGCAGCGGCTCTCTGCCCACCAATGGCACCGACACCTGGAAGAACCGTGCTGCCAGCCGCTTCAGTGGCTTCTTCAGCTCCGGCACCAGCACTGGCCCCTTTGGGCGGGTAGGTGGGCAGAGGAGGGGTGTGGGAGTCATGGTGCTGTGCTGGGGCGGTGGTGGGATGAGGTCCTGCATGGCTGTGCCCTGGATTGGGGGGCAGGGCCACAGAACCATGGCACTCTGCCACTGTCCCCAGCCCATCTGCTCATGCCTTCCAGCAGGAGGTGGACAAGATGGAGCAGCTGGAGAGCAAGCTGCACACCTACAGCAGCTTCGGGCTGCCCAAACTACCACCGCAGCTCCGCTTCGACCAGGACTCCTGGGAGGAGGATGGGGACGACAGCAGCCTGGTGCTAGAGGACAGCTGGCAGCAAATCATTGAGGGCACAGAGGTAGGGCTGGGATTGATGGTGGTGCTGGCCACACTCTTTGGATAGTGAAACACTGACGCTTGGCCCTGCAGGCCCTGACGCGCCGGCAGTGCCACCAGCAGGAAGCCATCTGGGAGCTGCTGCACACTGAGGCCACCTACATCCGAAAGCTAAAGGTCATCACTGATGTGAGTGCCCATGGCCCATGTTCCTCAGCCACAAGTGTCCCCCATACCATGGCTCCTGCCCCACGAGCTCCTGCTCTGTCCCCACAGCTCTTCCTCTGTTGCCTGCTGAACCTTCAGGAGTCAGGGCTGCTGTGTGAGGTGAGTGCACTGTGTATGTAGGGGCTGTGCTGTGGGGTCTGGGGTAACAGCAGCGTGGTGCACAGCAGGGGTCCCCCAGCATGGTGGGTGCATGGGGATGTGACCCACGGCGGCTCCCCGCCTCCCCACGTAGGTGGATGCTGAGCGCCTGTTTGGCAACATTGGGGAGATCATCCAGCTGCACCGCAGCCTGTGGAGCAGCGTCATGGCCCCGGTGCTGGACAAGGCCCGCCGGACCAAGGTGCTGCTTGACCCCATGGACTTCCTCAAGGGTTTCAAGACGGTGAGTGCCAACCCTGTGCTGCGCCATGGGCTGTGCCGGGCTGTGCCCTGCAGTGACACCTCCGTGTTGCCCACAGTTTGGAACGCTCTTCAAGCCCTATATCCAGTACTGCATGGAGGAGGAGGGCTGCATGGAGTACATGCGCAATCTGCTGCGCGACAGCGAGCTCTTCCGTGCCTATGTGACGGTAAGGGGGGAGTGGCAGGGCTGGGGCTGGGGCTGCGGCTGGAGCTGACATCTGCGTGTTGCAGTGGGCTGAGAAGCACAAGCAGTGCAGCCGCCTGAAGCTCAGCGACATGCTGGTGAAGCCGCACCAGCGCCTCACCAAGTACCCACTGCTCCTCAAGTCCGTGCTGAAGAAGACGGACGATGCGCGCACCCGTGATGCCATCCTCACCATGGTAAGGGGCACGATGTGCGAACGCGGGCAGGTGGGCAACCCAGCCTCTCACCCCTGTGCCTGTGCTGCAGATTGGCTCTGTGGAGCACTTCATCAACCACGTCAACTCACGGATGCGCCAGCGGCAGGAGCAGCAGCGCCTGGCTGCCATCCTCAGCCGCATCGATGCCTATGAGGTGGTGGAGGGCAGCACGGACGAGGTGGACAAGGTAGGCTGGGCACGGCACAGCTGCAGTGCTGTGCTGTGTCCTGACCTGTGCTGACCTCCCTGGCTCCCTGCAGCTGCTGAAGGAGTTCCTGCGGCTGGACCTGACGGCCCCCATGCCTGGCACCTCCCCGGATGACACCCGGCAGCTTCTGCTCGAAGGCAGCCTGAAGATGCGGGAAGGTAAAGACAGCAAGGTGAGGATGGGGGGCATGGGGAGCTCATGCATTGTGTGCGGGCTGGCACCCATGGCCCTGGTCTCACCCCCACAGATGGACGTCTACTGCTTCCTCTTCACCGACCTCTTCCTCATCACCAAGCCCGTCAAAAAGGCTGAGCGCACCAAGGTGATCCGACAGCCCTTGCTGGTGGACAAAGTCATCTGCCGGGAGCTGAAGGACCCAGGTGAGTGGCACCAGGGGGGAGGAGTTGCACGCCAGGAAGACATTGGAAGTCCAGGCCTCACAGCCCCTCATCCACAGGCTCCTTCCTCCTCATCTACCTGAATGAGTTTGGCAGCGCCGTGGCTGCCTACACCTTCCAGGCCAGTGGGCAGTCACTGTGCCGCAGCTGGGTCGAGGCGCTGCACAACGCACAGGTGAAGACACCGTGTGGGAGGGACGTGGGGGTCTCGTGCCCACAGCCCTCTGACACCTGCCATCCCCAGAACCTGCTGCAGCGGCTGCGGCTGCAGGAGCAGCAGCGTGGGCAGTGCCGGCGCCTGCAGGAGGAGGAGGAAGATGAGGAGGACAGTGAGAGCAGCACCTCGACCGCCAGCTCGCCCACGGTGCTGCGCCGCAGCAGCACCAGCCTGGACTCCCAGCAGTGGTATGAGTGGGACAGGGACACTGTGACCACAAGTGTGGCACAGCCCCCTCCTCACCTTCCCATCTCCCACAGCCCCTCAGACGGCTCCACTGAGACCATCTCAGTGGTAGTGGTGGACGGCAGCGATGAGCTCTCCTCCCCAGACTTGGATGTGGGGCCATTCGGTTCACCATCAGACAGCACCTCTGTCAGCACTGGCACCTCCATCAGCACCGCCACCGGCACCTCTGGCAGCACCCCAACGCGCGAGCTGCCCTCAGGCAGCTTGCCCCTGCCCCCCAGTGTCACCGCACAACCTGGCAGCTGCTGCTCAGCATCCATCGACAGCGCCTATGGCACACTCTCACCTGCCTCACCACGGGACTTTGCCCCACAGCAGGACGTAGGGGCTGAGGAGGGGCCAGAAGCCCTGGCCCCACGGCCCCCCTCGCCCCGGCTGCGCCGTCGGACGCCTGTGCAGCTCCTGCCCTGCAAGGCCCGAGTGCTCAAGTCCAAGTCAGAGGCCAGCCTGCTTCAACTGCTGGCCGGGCCCCCTGCCCCACTCACTCAGAGCCGGAGCCTCTCTGACCTATGCATGGCCCCCCCTGCTCCCCCGTTGCTCCAGCGGACTAGCCATTCCCCAGAGCACCTGGCCCCCGGTGCCGGCAGCAGCAGTAGTGGTGACTCCACTTCAGAGCTCTCAGAGCCAGAGGAGCCCATGGAGACCCCTGTGCCCACCATGGGCAAGCCCGGCCACAGCCCTCAGCCCCCTGCCCACCGCACGCTCTCAGACTCCTCATCAGCGCAGCACCGCAAGCTGACGCTGGCACAGCTCTACCGAATACGGACCACACTGCTCCTCAACTCCACGCTGACAGCCTCGTATGTGCAGCCCATCCCCTCTGCATGCCACGTGCCGGGCCCCACCCTGACCAAGCCTCTTTCTTTCTTGTGCCTTGCAGGGAGGTCTGAGAGCTGCCAGGGCAGTGAGGATGAGGATGGACGTGCGGCTGCTCCAAGAGCTCTTCCTGCTTCTAACCGTAGCGTAACGTCGGGGCTGGGCAGAGCAGGCACCCACCAGCTTGTGCCAGGATGTCACACGTGGGGACACAGAGCAGTCCCGTCTGGGAGGATGCATCCCGGCAGGGCAGCACCGGGCTGCCCATTGCTACCCAGGGGTGTCCGTGTGGAGTGGACATGGCGCACAGTGTGGCCGTGGGGCTGCGCCTGGGGAGGCCATGGGCTCGGCAGCTCCGCGCAGGGAGGAGGGATGGTGACGTCGGCAGCGGGGAGTGGGGAAGGTGTGAGATGGCTGCGGGGTGGGCAGCACAGGGCTGCTGGCACGTGGGGCAGGAGGTGGGGGGCAACGGCACGAGGGGACAGGGCTGAGGTGGGGCTAGCAGTGGCCACAGGGTCTGGCCAGGGCATGGTTTGGGGGCCAGGATATAGGAGCGTGGGAGCTGCGGTGGCCGAGCGCTGGGTGCCGTCCTGTGCTGGGCTGGTGGGGAGCTACTGCCTGTTGACACAGCCCACACTGGAGTGGGATGCCACTGCAGAGTGTGTATTTATTGTGCTTCAGGCTGTCCCTGTAGCAGTGCTGCCTGCTGGCACTGGGAGGTGGCGGTGGCTGCACTGTGGGCATGTACTGGCCATGGCACCTGTGCTGGCTGCAGTGCGGTCCAGCCAAGCAATAAACCTAGCTGTGTGCATGCTGCGCCCGCCTCGCCTCTCCTTCGGGCAGCAGCCAGGCACCGCGGGGTGAGGGGGAGTGGATGTGGAGCAGATACCATGCAAGGCTCATGGAGCCAGCCACAGCTCTGTACCCTAGCTCGGGGAGGGAGGGGGGTCAGGGTGCAGCTCTGCCTAATGAAGCAGAGGACACTGTGTGTCCCCTCCGGGCTGTGTCTGTGCTGCTGGGGGGAATGCAAGGGACATGGCGGGCTGGCGCAGGTCCCTCCTGCGCAGCGTTCCTGTCATGTGCTTTCGAACCCTCTGGTCTCATTTCCAAAAAAGCATTTCCTCCTGCTGTGGTCACATATAAAAGCCTGCTTGGGGAGGGCTGGTGCTCATTCATCACACGTCGTGCAGCAGCAATGGGGCGTGGGGGAACCCTGCACTGAGTCTCCCCCGCACTGGGGGCCCCGTGCTCTGTTGTGCCCACCCCTGTCACACGGCATGACCCAGCTGTGCCGGCTACAAGGATGAAGCACCGCTGCCCAGGGGCGGCCTCGGTGAGTGTGGGGGGGTGGGGGCCCGCTGGCTAGGCTGGTGTGGCCCTGGGTGTTCGGAGCCGGTGGTGGCTGTGGGTGGTTTCAGTGGAAGTGGTGCGAGATGTACTCGGCAACACGCTGAGGGGCCATGTCCCACAAAAGTGCTCGCTCTCTGTCCAAGCTGTGCTGAACACCTGGAGGCTGCAATCTGCCCTCCTGCAGCCTGACCCGGGGCACAGCAGTGGGGACTGTGGGTGGGATGTGGTCACAGGGGTGATAGGTATGGCACGGCCATGGGGACCACAGGCACAGCGCGGTTATGGGAACCACAGGTATAGCACAGCCAAAGGGCTAGGCACGGCCACGGGCACTGTGGGCACAGCACGGTCACAGGGAGTGTGGATGCAGCCACAGGGATGGAGGGCAGAGCACGGCCACAGGACCACGGCCAGGCTGCACTGAGAGCCTGCAAGCATGGGTCAGGGATGCCATTGCAGCCCCACACATGGTGGCAGACGGTGACAGTGAGGTGGCTGCGGGCTCTGAGTAGGTGGGTGCCCCAGCCCTGTGGGGCCAGGAGCAGAGGCTGCAGACAGAACCGTGTTACGGGTAGGGGTGGTGCTTGAGCGGCATAGGAAGCAGAGGCCCCGCTGCGTAACCAGTGCTGCACAGCACCTGCCCACCGGGTGCCAGGGATGGGGCGGCACACGCGTGCAGGTCGGGCCCCGCTGCGGGGTGCTCGTGCCCAGCAGGGCTGTGCGCTGACTCAGACGAGCCGCTGGCTGCTGGGCTCCTTGTTGTGGTGCGGCCGCCCTGATGCCATCGCAGCGCTATGCAAATGGCACAGCCTGTGCATGGTTTCCAGTCCGGCGGCGGCGGGTTTAATAGAAAATGATTCAGTCCCTGTAATCGGGGTGATCTCGGCTGGGAAATCCAGCCCCCGGCGTGGAATCCCCTGGCTCCCTGCCTGCCGTGGCCAAGCAAACGCTGCTCACATCACAACACTGTGTGTGGCTCTGGGACCCCACCGGGCTGCGGGTGGTGGAGTGGGGCAGGCACCCCCTGTGTTCCCTCCAGAGCTCCTCTCCACTCAGCACCCAGCACCCTGCGGGGTGGCGGGGGAGCAGTGACCTACTTTGGGACGCACGCATGAAGTGTGATAGCATCGGGGACAGCGTGAGCTGGGCATGGTTTCCTCTCAGGGAGGAAATCGCCTCATCTGTGAGGCAGATAAAAAGGGAGGAAAGTGGAGGGAGGTGTTAACCCTGCCATGCCCTGAACTGCACACTGTGTGGGACTGAGCACTGGGCTGGCTGATGGCATCTGGGGGCTGAGTGCAAGTGGGCAATGCTGGTGTGCCTGAGCCCAGAGGGTGACCCATGTGCCCACACGGTGTGTGCCCTATGCTGAGGTCAGGAAAACAATTACTCAGGGACCCAGGGGAAAACCCGGCACAGGGGCTGCCTTGGGGCATTCCCAGCCCTGGGGCTGTGGGCATGGGGCTGCCCCTGGCTGTCCTGCTCTGCTGCCAGCCCTGCAGGGCAGCGGCATCTGCTTGGCCTAACATCCTGCAGATTGGGCTTGGCTGGGGCTCAGGTGCCCGTTGTACATGGCTGGAAGCCCAGTGAGTGTGATGGCCCAGCCCTGCTGCCCTGGGATGCTCACTTTGCACCCAGGCTTTCTGCAGCCTGCCCTCTCCCTGCCGACAGGTGCTCCTGGCAGTGCTGTGGCTGCTGGCCAGCGGATCACAACCCCCGGGCTGCCAGGACTGTTCCATGCTACGCAGCCAGCAGGGCCTGGTGCTCCCATCCACCCGCACTCGGAGGTCCACCGTAAAGTCCTGCCCCTCTGGGATGAGCTGGATCCGTTCAGTTGATCGGTGCTGTAACCAGTGTCCCCCAGGTGAGAAGTGCCCGGCTGGCAAGGCACCGTGCACCAGGTGTGTTGTTTGCCATGGGCATGGTGGCATGGCACTGCCTGGGCATGCAGCAGTGGCCGTGCTCATTGTCCCTCTGCTGCCCACAGGGACATTCCTGCAAACCCCCTGCACGAGCCATGGAAATGACAACATCTGTGTAGCCTGTCCTGCCGGCACCTTTCTCTCCCACCCCAACACCCGCCCCAAGTGCGATGCTTGTTACACGTGTGACCATCAAAGTGAGTTGACAGTGTGCTGTGCCATGCTGTACCATATTGTGCCACGCTGTGCCATGCTGCATCATGCTGTGCCATGCTGTGCCACGCTGTGTCATGTTGTGCCACATTGTGCCATGCTGTGTCCCGTTGTGCCACACTGTGCCAAGCTGTGCCATGCTGTGCCATGCTGTGCCATGTTGTGCTGTGCTGCCCTGCTCATCACATGCCTCTGCAGCTTTCCAGACTGTGGTGAGCAACTGTTCAGCCACCAGCAACATCGCCTGTGGCTGTGAGTCTGGCCACTTTCGCGAGTGCCAAAACAAGGATGACTCCTGCAGTGACTTCTCCTGCAAGAAGTGCAAGACCTGCCCTGGGAAACTGCTCCTGCAGCCCTGTGAGTGTTTCTACCCAGCCCATGGCGTGCCACCTGCAGGGCCTCCACTGGCCTGACATGCACCCTCTCCCCAGGCTCAGACAGGCAAGATGCACAGTGTGGGAGCTGCAAGCCTGACTTCTACGCCGAAGGCAGTGAGTGCCACCCATGCCACATGTAAGCAGCTCCCGGGGGGGGGGGGTGCTGGCAACACGGCACAGTGCCCACCATCCCTCTCCTTGCAGGAGCACCCCGGAGACATGCGGCGAGGAGTGCCAGCGGGTGTGTGGCCACCGTGCCCGAGGTGTGTGAGGTGGTGAGGCTGGGGATGAGGGCAGTGGGGTGGGGGGCATGGCTCCAGGGGACAGCACTACTTCCTTGCAGGCTCAGGGCTGGAGTACATCCTGCTGGGCCTTACCGGGCCCCTCTTCCTGGGTGCCCTTGCCATCTATCACAAGCGGAAGCGACTCCAGATGGAGACCCCAGCAGTCAGCCCCCTCCCTACAGTCTCACACTGGGACTGCTCTGGCCCCACAGCCTGTATGCACTCCATCACCCAGAGGGCTGCAGCAACAGAGGTGGTGCAGTGCCAGGTGAGTGCCTGCGGTGGGGTGGGTGGCTACCAGCTACAGTCGGGTGGTTCGCACTGGACCTGGCCAAACTCTCTGGACAGGTGTGGGAGCCTGGCCCCAGAATGGCGAGGAGGAGCTCCGAGTCCTCGGCCTTGCTGCACCAACAACCCAGCAGAGCAGCATTGCCCAACAGCACCACAGAGCCCTCGGTGCCCCAGGAGCCCAGCACAGTGCACAGCCCGGCCCCACCACTCAGCAGCCCCCAGCACTGTGCCCTGCTGCAGGGCAGCCAGCTCTACGCTGTCATCAATGCAGTGCCGGTGCGGCGCTGGAAGGAGTTCATGCGGGTCCTGGAGCTGCGGGACACAGAGATCGAGCTGGTGGAGATGGAGGTGGCACCGTTCCGCGACCGGCAGTACGAGATGCTGAAGCGCTGGTGCCAGCAGACCAGTGCCACGCTTGACCGCATCTTTGCTGCCCTGGAGCACATGGAGCTGTCGGGCTGCGCTGAGACACTGCGCCAGAGCCTGGCATTGGGACCCTGAATTCATGTCCGCAAAGAGGTGACACAGCACCAGCGGCTGCCCCAGAGCCCTCCTGGCTGCACTGTGCCCCCATCAGCAAAGTGAGCGGATCCGGCGCCACGGAGTGCCCTACCACTAAGTATTGTTACTTATGCTGTGTAGACATTTTATGTCAGTTATCTGGACTGCAGGCTCAGGCTGCAGGAGCAGGACAGAACTCAACTTCTGGGCCACTCACCCACCCCTATTTATGTCCTCTTTCTCCCGGGACCCCGTGCTGCTCGCAGGACGAGCAGGCACCGACCCCGCTGCCAACCCATGGGATAGTTCTCGAGGCCACCCAGCTGGTGCACATGGGTGGGCCTGCCCCTGCCCCAATAAAGTGGTGTGTTCTCCAGCCCTTGGCACCTGGCCCTTCTTCTGGGGCTGCTGCCGGCCCCACAGCACAGAAGTGGGGCCAACCGGGCTCCTGGATGGGAGCACCACGGATGGAGGCACCATCGGGGATGGCACAGCACAGGCACCACAGGAGGGCAGGAGGGGCACTGCAGGCAGCCCCAGGAAGGCGCGGGGCACCGCAGGAGGGGATTTATTGTTTTAATTGCCGAAACGCGGAGGGTCTGGGTCAGACGTGGGCCGGAAGCCTCCCTCTAGCGGCTCCGGAGGCGGCAGGGAAGGAGCGCGAGGAGCGCGCAGCGTGCACCGATCGCACGGCAGCCCCCGTGCAGCACGGCTCCAGGGCTCCATTCTGTGAACGGCAGCGTCGGGGGGCAGCAGGCGGGGGCAGCGGGGTGGGGCTACGAGGACCTGGGCGGTGGCAGCGGGCGCTCCTGGGGGGCGGGTGAAGTGGGAGCACCGGGGGCCGTTGGCGGCGGGAGGAGGGTGCTGCGTGCGTCCCGGCGGGCACCGGGCACGGAGCGGAGCCTCCTCCCACCACTAAGAGCCGGGGGCAGCGCGGGGGTGTGACGCTGCTGCAGGGAGCAGGGCTAGTGCTTCGCTATGTCCCCTTTCTTGAGGATGATCTGCCGCTGCCAGGGCGCCAGCTTTGTCTCATCGTACCCAAGAGTCCTTAGCTTTTCTGACTGCTCCTTCTCCTTCTCCTCCTCCTCTCGCTTCTGCTTCTCTTGCTCTTTCCTGCTCAGCAGCAGAGGGGTCAGGGCACTGCAGGTCACTGAGCCCCCCAAGCACACCCACCCACCCGCCAGGAGAGGGGACGCATGGCACTCACCGCTTCTGCTCCCTGCAAAGGCAAAGGGATGAGACACCATTAGTGTCTGGCCGAGGGCAGCTAGCCGGCACAAACAGCCCCCACTGCCCTGCTCACCTCTCCTCCTCCAGCTTCTTGCGCAGGATGTCCCTCCTCCAGGCCGGCATGCTGGCCAGGCGTGCCTCCTCCTCCTTCTCCTGCAACAAACAGGCGCATTACTGCCAGCCCCAGGAGCACAGCCGGGCTCCACAAGGGAAGCAGGGATTTGTGGGCTTCTGAGCAGCAGCTCTCCCACGGACATCACCCCCAGGCACGCTGCTACAGGGAGCACAGGCATGAGGCAGCATGGCACAACATGGCATGGCACGGGTGGGACGCAGCTCTATGGCACTATGGGCACAGCACCAGGTGGGTCCTACTGTCCTGGCCCCCTTTGCAGTCTATGTTACCCCAGCACAGGGAGCACGCGTGACCAAGGACCGTGCGGAGCGCTGAGCCCTTCGCAGCACACACAGCTTTATTGCACAGACACATAGGGGCCCACACTGCCCCAGCACTGCAAATCACACCATAGGGGAGCAGCGCCCCGAGCACAACACACAGCCACAGCAAGTGGCACACAGCAACCTCAACACACAGCCGGCCATGGGACCCTTGAGAGGTCTGGACACCTGGGACTTCACGGCACAAGGCCCAACCTGGCAGTCCTCAGAGCTGACCCGCAGCCCTGCCACCACGAGAGCAGCAGGGCAGCCGAGCCGTGCCATGCAGTGGTCCTGCTGCTGCCTGCACCCATCTGCACATCCAGCTCTGTGCTCAGCAGCTCAACGCGTTCACCACAGCCCTGCCACCACAGCAACCTGCTCGGCTTAGATATCAAACATCTCTGCTTCCTTCTCCTTCCAGAAGGAGAAGCTGCGGTCGATGTAGCGGCAGATGTCCTCATCGCTGAACTCTCCCAGCTCTGAGACCAGCTGGGCTGGCTCCTGCGTGCCCCGGGCTGTTGCTGTTGGACAGGGAGGCACTGGGCTCGATCCCACTGCTGCCACTGTGCTGGTGGGGCTGTCCCCAAAGAACTCCTGCTTGAGGTCCTCAAAGCCATCGAGCCAGCAGCGGTGGCCAGCCTCAACCCGCTCCAGTGCGGCGCGGTGGAAGCGTCGGATGCACTCCCAGCTGTGGGTGCTCAGGCGGTCAAACATCTCATAGCACAGCAGGTGCCGGAAGCGCCGCTCCTCGGGACTGAGGTTCATCTCCAGCAGCTGGAAGTAGCCCAGCATGAAGAGGTCCAGTGAGAGGCTGTCATAGGGCATGGGCGAGCCTCGCACATGGGGCAAGAAGTGCTCAGGCCAGTAGAGCACTTCAGCACGGCTCAGCCGCCGGATCTGCCGCCCTGGCACACGGTGGGCCACACTCCTCCAGCGTGCCAGCAGCCTTGCCACTGCCTGCCGCTGCTTCCAGAGCCGCCGCAGCCGCTCGTCCCCGTGGCTACGTGAGCCTGGTGCCTCTGCCAGCGCCCATTTCTTCCAGTGCTCCAGGAAGAGGGAGACGGCACGCTCCTTGTGCGCATCGATGCGTTCCTGCAGGCAGCTCAGCTCTGTCTGCACCGGGCGACTCCGTCGCAGCATGCCATCCACATCCTCATCCCCATAGTCCTCCTCCAGGACGGGCTCACGGGTGCAGCCATCCATCAGCACACCAGCGGGCAGTGATCGCTTCCTCTTGGTGACCCTGGCGTGGGGCACAGGGGCTCCCACCAGCCCCTCATAGTTGGCCTTCAGGCTGCGCACTGAGACACCACAGCGCAGAATCTCGTGCCGGGCATCCTGCTGGGTGCTGGCAGCAGCAGGGGGGGGCCTCTGCGGCATGGTGCTGCTCGCCGCTCCCCCTGCCCCAGAGCTCTCACGGCCTCCCAGTGCAGCGAGCAGCATGGCCATGCTCCTCAGCAGTGCAGAAGTCTTGCTGCACCAGGCGGGCAGATCCTCAGCACGGCCCTGCAGGCGCCGGGGATCGAGGGAAAAGCGCTCGGTGGCCAGAGCGGCCGAGAGCGGCAAGAGCTGCTGCAGCTCCTCCTCCAGCTGCTCCAGCTCTGTCTCCACTGTCTGCACCTTATGCATCACCTGTAGGTTTTCAATTTGCCTCTCAATGCGGAGAATGTCCTCCTCCGTCATGAGCTGCCCGAAGGGTCCCAGCATGCCCCCGTGGGCAGCGGAGTAGCGCCAGCACGGGGGGGGCGAGACGTTCCCGGGCTCCAGCTAGGGCAGGAAAAAGGGCAAAACAGCTCCTGAGGATGCACCCCACAGCCCTGCACATGCCAACCCCCCAGTTCCAGGGTCCAGCAGGGAGCCAGGACCGCACACCAGCAATAACACACGGGATGAGTGCTCCAGAATGGGTCTGTGGCCAGGCAGGGTGCGTGGCACCCACGGCGCACATGGTGAGGCCATCCCCTGCATGCAGCAGGGCTGAGGCCATCCCAGCACAGCAGGGGAGCCAGAGCGATGTGGTTCCACACATGTCCACGAGCCAGGTCCTGGGCTGTTCTCACTGCACACAGCTCGCGGGACCCCACAGTGAGGCCCCCATACCTTACGCCGCTGCTCCTCTTCCTCCTGCATGCGGAGCTGCAGCTTGCGCACCATCACCTGCCGCTTCCACTCAGGGATGGGCCGGCCCTGCTCATCGTGGCTTGGCACCAGAGCTTCCACATCCGGTGGGGCCACGGCCCCTGGCCCTGGCACTGGCGAGCTCCCATTAAGCACTGGCTCTGGCGAGCCCCCCACCACGCAGCGTGGTGGCCCCCCGGCCTCAGGGGTGGCTGGTGGGGTGGGGGTCCTGGTGGGTGATGGGGAGGATGCTGGTGAGTCAGCCTGTGAAGGGAAGGAGGAAATGAGTGTTTGCTGTACCCCCACCCGACCCCACAGGTCTTGGGGCACCCACAACACGTCCCTCTGCCCCCCGCCACCTACGTTGCCCCCTGCCTGGCCACTGCCGGAAAAGACGGTGGTGAAGCCTTTGCTCTGCGGTGTTGGCTTCAGGCTCTTCCCAGCCTTGATTTCAGCCAGGAGCTCCGAGTTGTCGCCAGTGGGGGACATCATGTTGAACGACTTGGTGCCTGGTGGAAGAAGGCAGTGGGCAGTGCGGACCCTGCTGCTGCCGGCTCCTGCCCGTGGCTGTGCCGGCCAGAAGCCTGTAGGACCCCATCAGACCAGCACCCTGCACCCAACTCCCTGGAGCATTCCCAGCCCTAAGCACTGCCTGCAAGCACAGCCCCATGGCGCCGTGCTGCAGCGCTGTGACCGCACGAACAGTACAGCTGCCGGCAGCAGCCCGAGCACGATAGGACAGCCCTGTGCTGCCCTGCAGCCCCCTGCAGTGCCCCAGCAGCCTGGGGCCAGCACCACGCCCTGCGAGCACCCACCGTCTGTGCCAGCCATGCGTGCGTCCCTAACGGCCCATGGTGCCGCACCAAGGCAGAGCCCCTTCCCCGCCGCCCTGCGCTCGCCCGCTCGGCTGTGCAGCGCCGGGGCCCGGACGCCTGTTGGTGCCGCGAGCACAGCCGGGCGCTCGCAATGCCATCCAGTGCTGCTGAGCCCCCCAGCCTCCGGGAGCCAGCGCTAATAAAGCAGGCGCTGAGCTGCTGCCAACCAGCGCGCTGCAATCAGCGGCGGGGGAGCGGCCGGTGCGCTCACGTGGCGAGGTAATGCCGGCCGGCTGAGCGCAAACAAAGGCTTTCTGTGCACAGGGCCGTGGGGGCCGCAGGGGGCACGGGGCCCTGCCAGCCCTGCTGGCCCCGCACTCCGTGCCTGCCCCAGCCGGAGCCGTGTCAGCGCCCCGCAGGGCCCCAGCTTGGCATTGGGCAGCACGTCGGCCTCATGGCCTGGGGCGCGTTAGCTGGGTTGCTCCGTGTTAGGCTGCAGGGAGCTCACCCTGGTGGCCATCGGTGCTGGGAGAGGTCGCTTGCCCACAGCACCACGTGTGAGCACTGAGCAGCACGTGCGATGCCAGGGTGCCCCACTGAGATGCTCTGCTCCCAGCAAAGAGCAACAAGCTGCGGTACTTACTCTTCATCTGTCTCAAAGCTTTTCCTTCTAGGGGGAGAAGAAGAGAGGCAGCACAGCGCGTGTAGCAGAGGAAGGATTTGGCCACCACAAGACAAGAGAGAAGAGAAGCAGCCAGCAGTGAGAGCAAGT